GGATTCCGTAGAATTTTACTCAGCATTGCCTTCTAAAATGCTATTTCATCCAGAATGGACTTCGGCTTTTACCTCACCTAGGTCTCATCAGAATACCTATCGGGATTAGATATTAACGAGCCTACATCTTGCAACTGTTAAGACAGATAAGCAAGATTTTAGTTGAGAACGATTACTCGTTAGTATTAATTGTCAATAACTTTTAATCTTTAGCAAATAGGAGGGATAGAAGCCTCTTGTTAGGGCAAAATAGATAGCTGGACCACTTTACTAAGATCTTGATATTAATAGAGTGCAAGCTGGTTTTGTGTTTGTATGGTAGAGTGTTTGTTAAAGAGGCTTACTATCTCTTATATAGGAGGTTACCTGAACCTAAAACGACCTTCAAAGTGTTGTGGGTTCCGAAACCAGAACTTGCAAATTATATAGTCCACACAGCGAACCAGTCCAAGATAAAACGCTTAGCTGGATATGTAGTTAATAACATTTCACTTATCAGCAAGCGCACAGGTAAAGCATAGGATAAAAAACAAAAATCATGATATATCTCATAAAGCGAACAAAGTTAGGCTATAAGTAATTGGTAGTATTGCAGCCGGTGGATTAGCGTTAAATATAGTTAATATGGATGAATGCTCAGTAAGGACTCATCAAGTTCATGGGTTAGTAACCCAAAGAAGTATTCCCACAAAATGCAGTCACTTCGCCAATGCAACTCTCCTTTGACTTTTGGTAAGACCAGCTTACAAATCCATTCCACTCTCTTATCTTCAATCGAAATAAAAGGTACCCCAACATCAATCTATTAAGTTATTCTTCAGCAACCTGTCTTCGTTCTTATATTTAAAGTGTGGGTTCTGTTAATGTATTCAATTATTTAAAATATTGTAATTTGAGCTCGACATTAATAGATCTTTACTTTACAATCCTAGCGAAGTAGCCACCATCAAAGTGGATGACAGTGGTAAAAATATATGAATAAAATTATTGCTACTATTACTAATTAGTATATAACCATAGTGCTAGTTTTGAGTAATGATACTGAATAATTTAGCTATTCATATATGAATGCATTGGTACTAATGATTCTGCAGGATGTTCCTCCAGATTTAAGAAAAGTGATGCTTGAGGGTGCTGATTATTAATCTATCAGAAAAAAAAGTGTAGATTGGGTAACTAATTATTACAATAAAGTGTCTTTCTTATTTAAATATAAAAGGAAAAATGGGTAACTTGGTATAAACCGTCTCAATATCCATGGATGAAGGGTGCTATATCTAGCTTATGCCTTATATCAATATATATGAAAGGGAACTACACGAGGACTGAATAGATATTATGATTCATTTAGCAGCTGAATCTCACCTAAAAGGTGAGTACTCCATACAAACGATAAAAAGTCATAAATAAAGGAATACATGAGACTTTTATTTTTCAAAGAATGAGTGCAGCTAAATGCATAAAGCGAAGCTTGATAGGGTTAATTGATTAATTTGTTTTTATAATGATTTTCCATTATTATTTTAAAGGGCATCTAATATTTCGAAGAGTATACACCATCTACGATAAATAATCCTTCTATTTCACGATATTTTTGCATTATTTTACAATAAATCGAGTAAAATTACACACGAGTGAATAAAAAATCAAGAAAAGATTTAGTAAGATTATTCAACCACTCAGAATAATTATTCAAGAAAAAGATACTTCATATTGAAGTCAAAATACCTTTTTTATTATTATAGTCATATTTTGATCTTTTGTTAGTCACTTTTAGAATTATTTATATTATACAATATGAAGGGTTAACGAATAACCTAGCTTTAAAATGAAGGTCTGTTATGCTCAGCATATCTTAAGGTTGATTATGCATACACTTGTGTGTTATTTTCTCTGACTTATTACAAAATAATGCAAAAGTATCATTAAAGACTTTTACCAAATTTTTCTGTTATTGGCATATTAGCTAAGACTGAAATTTCGAACGAATAGACTACGCAATAACTAACGACTTCTAATAAAAATAAAAGATTCCCTTTTAAAGCAAATCAAACTCGAATTAAGTCAAAGCTTTATATATTGGGCAACAGTGTAGACCGTTCTGACTGTTTTGCGTTTCAAATTTTAATGAGTTGCGATACAATAAAAAATATGCCCCCATCAATTAAATCAATATGTTATAACACATATTTAATATTTATGGACAATTATTACCAATTTACAGTATTTAGCAAGAGCTGTAAAACTTTATTTAACATTGCCGTATATTTGTTTTAACCTCTTGACCAGACCATTCCCGATCTTTTTAACCCTCTCTCCGTCTCCTTGATATGGGACGCAAAAAAAGGAAGCAACTCAAACCTTGGTGCTGGTACGTTAGTTCAACATATGCTTATCGATTATAAGGTATTGTAATAGGGAGTTTGACGACGAGAAAATTCTTATACAGCATCAGAAGGCTAAACATTTTAAATGTCCGTATTGTCACAGAAAGCTTTACACCGGCCCTGGCCTGTCTATTCACTGCAATCAAGTACATAAAGAGAAGCTTGATAAAATACCTAACTCATTACCAAACCGGGCGAGTACTGTCATCGATATATACGGAATGGCTGGGATACCGGAGAGTGATTTGATCGAGCATGAGCGTCTTAAGCTCGGTATGGACGGGTTTTCAGATGAACCGCCAGAGAAGTTTTCTCGTGAAGACGAGCCGACGACATCTTTTCCTGCCTCTATTATCCCTTCTATTATTCATCCGGTCCATCCTGCAATGCCTACATTTATCCCTGCTCTTGGGTAAGTTTTGAAATACTTAGTTATCTTTCAGTCCCGCCACCTACATTCCCCCGCCTGCTCCGGTAATTCCTGCGGTGATTTCTTTAGCAGCTCCAGTAGTCTCTCCTGTTTTGACAGATGCAACTACACCTAAAGCAACCTTCCCTGCCTACTCGGCGGATGTACAGCAAAAGGGTCCTGTCCCCAAGGTACCGAAGCCGACCTGTGGGGCGAATGGAATGGCCGTCGAGCTCATTCATCCTGATGATGACCTCTCACTGGTTTGTCTATGTTTTATCATTACTTTCCTAGGAGGAATTGAGGTTGCAGTCTCTTAAATACAGCCGATTGCTTGAGGCCGCTCGTGTCCTCCCGGTGATAGTTCCCGTCCCACCACCTACCCTCCCTCCTCCCCCTCCCCCTATACCAATCGCCGGGCTTGTTTCAGCATCTATGGTACCATCTCCATATGCCTTTCCACCGCTCCCTGGCGCTCCTCCCATGCATTATGCAACTCAGCCACCATTTATACCTCCTGGTGAGTATTTATTTTCTTGTTCTCTCCTTCTTTATTAAGTCTAACTTAAACTCCTTTTGTAGCCCCCTCTCTCGCAGGAATCCAGCCTATGCCGTACCCAGCTGCCCCGCCATTACCACCGCCACCATGGGGAACAATGCCGCCCATGAGGTTCTGAACGCAAGTCAGTCGCCATTGGTTATCTAGGTGTCTGTCTGAGGGATGTTTGTTCCTGTTACTCTTATGTTTACAGGATTGTCCAATTTATCTGTTCTTTGTAGTCCCTCTTTGTGACTTTGGTAATACACTAAATAATCTCTCTTTTCTTTCACTTTTTCCTGTTTTTGGCAAAGGCCTATTTCGCTTTGGCACAATTTTCGTCGTTTCAAATGGCGTTACGTTGTTACCGGTAGCTCGTGAATTGATCAATTAGCCAAAGGCCGGAGGACTTTAGTGAGTACGCTAACTTGTTCTGATTTTTTTCTTTATTATGAGCTGCCAGCCCAGCTCTAGATGTGGGCACAACTGATAGACTCTTCAACCAGGGTATGTTTGAATTTTTTAAACCTTTGAGACAGGTCTTCAGAACCAAACCGGTGCGTCTTAACCGCGCGCTAGATTATTTGCAGTGGCAAACGGTAGGTCTTGTCAGACGTAAGTTGAGTTGGTGAATAGCGATTATGGCATTTTACTTTTTAATAAACCTTCGTCCCACAAGCTGATTTTTCGCTCAAAATAAGGGCATGGACGAAAAGTGAAAGACATTTTGTAAAATTTTATTGATCTCAAATATAAAGTTTGATCTAAAAAAAAGATGCAAGTTCAAGTAAACTCGAGCCCTTACTAAATGTCCATCAATTAGTTCTTACCGGTGACATCCTGTAGCTCCTGAATATTCTACACACTGGTCCACATTTTGTCGAATGACATCGCTTGCATGGCCAGTGGCAACCACTTTTGCATTCCGGGCGCATGCAGTCGCAGATATCTGTCAGATTTTTAAGTAGCCTTCCTCTCGAGTCATACAGTATCGGAGTTTCTCTAGAATGGGATGAAGTGAGTCACTCTTCTATCATCATCTTTAAATATGTCTCGGACTTACTCCATCTCTCGGTGGTTTCCTTTCGATAATTGCCGAACAAGTCCCCTCGTCACGTTTGGTTCCTGCACGTCACATTCCAGACTCTGCATTTGCCGTCCCGGATTGTGGAATTTGAGACGGTCGAGTTCGCTTACTGGAGCCACTGTTGAGGACACTTGGCCAGGGGAAGAATCGGTGGCCATGGATACGACTCTTACAGTTTTACGTCCAACCTGGAAGGGATTATTAGTATTTTATCTTGTCCCTTTGGACTTCTGATCCCTGGACACAGTTGTCCCATTTAAATCTATTACAGCAATCAATATTGGTGCACAATGTAGTACAGAAAAATTTCATATTAATTTAGTATATCTGCAGTAGTTAATGCGTAAAATGCGTAGTTATGGAAGCGTCGTATCTAGTTAGTAAATATAATCGAGTGGAATGCCTTGTCGCAGGCAACGGGGTTGTGTATCGTGCATGGGTAGGCGAAAGACGCACTAACCTGACTGGCTGATGTGATAGTGTCGCTCGTCTGCCAAGTGGCTTCCAATTCACTCTGCAAAAGCGACAGCAAACAAATCTGGGCGGGTCCAGTGAGGTCTTGACAGTCAACCGTTTTGCGTTGGGTACTGTCATTCTCGATATCCGCCTCAGGTGTATTCTGGGGAACTTTGTGTCTGGGTGAGACGCTGCCCTGTGCACTTTTGTCCGCGCAGTTGGTTATGTCATCATCCTGGCCGATCAATCCTATTTCAAAGTTGAGTGGCAGTGGCTCGGTTGCTTCGTGTTCCATTGCCTAGAATAAACAACTGCTATATAGTCCTCGGGCTGTTATCATGTTGAGTACAGATACGACTGAGTAAGGGATAATGTATCGCCTAAGTTTATCTCTAAGTTAAAGGGGGCTACATTGAATCTGCATCCCTTGAGCCGTAAATGCTCAATCAACCAGCCGTGCGAGCCTCGAGTTGTGCAGATGAGATAGGAGTGGGTGGCAGATCGAGAGTTGGAAACTAGAAAATATAGTGTGCAAAGGGGGACGGGGATGTTCTCCTTTCAGCCGTACAGCATGCCAGTGAAACTAGCATGCCTTAATGGCACATATTAACGTATGCAAGTCAAGGAGAACTATAAATAAAATTTTTGCGCCAAAAAAGGACATCACTTGCAGTGATTAGGATGAGATATCTCTGTGCTGGCGTAGTCAAATGAGTCTCGATCTCAGGATTAATTAGACGGTGTTGCTTCTGCTGACTCCTAGTTTGGTGAAGTCGATAAACTGTTCTGGTAATGGATAGTATGATAGGTTTTATGTCACTGCGCCATTATGAGGGTTGCCGTGACGACTTTCGTTTCATATGAGTTTCCGTAACAATGTTATTTCGAGAGGCTGTTCGAAACGTGCTTTGTATTTGTATATGCAGCAATGTAAGTGTTCAAAGCTAGTTTTGACGATTGAGCTAATGATATTTAATCGCATTAGTCAATTAGTGCGAGTGGATCTTAAGCATTAACACGGACGATAATTCATACACCAATTACATAACAGTAGTCGTTCCC